ATGAGCTTCCCTGTGGCCAGTAGAGATGGTTTGTGTGATTAGCTGGAAAGGCGATGGAGAGTTGAGAGCTGCCCATGAAGTAACTAGTCAAGTAAACCAAATTAGAAGAGTGAGGCTGGCATCTAGTGGTAGAGATAAGTAATGTCCCAAACACAAAGGAGCCCAAATGCAAAGACTACTTTCAGATATTATCTCCCCAGCCTCAAATGTAGTAATAATTTCATCTTTCTGTATCAGCCAAGACCATTTGGTTATGTGGCAGATTATGAAGAACATCAGTTTGAGGTGGGTGTTGTGGCACAGTGGGTTAAACCTCCACTGGGATGCCCACATCTGTATTGGAGAGCCTGGTCCTATGCTTCCAATCCAGTTTCCTACTGATGCACATGAGAGGGAACAGATAGATGATGGTCCAACTGCTTGGGTTCTTATCACCTATGTGGGAGAGCTGCATGGGGCTCCTGGCTCCTGTTTTCTGTCTAGTCTACCTCTGGCTACTGGGAGTGCCTTTAGGAAGTGACCCTGTGGATAGAAGATCTCTCTAGCTTTGTCTCTCCCTCAGTCACTCTGCCTTTGAAATGAATAAATAGGGGCCAGTGCTGTGGTGTAACATTTAAAGCTAGAGCCTGTGGGCCTTGTATCTCATGTGGATCCTGGTTCAAGATCTGGCTGCCCCACATCTGATCCTTTTCCCTGCTAATGTGGATCCGCTCAGCTCCGGCCATTGTGGCCACCTGAGGGGGTGAACTAGTAGATGGAAGATCTCTTCTTCTCCCTCACGCTAACTCTGCCTTTCAAATAAATGAAAAAATAATTTAAAAAGGGAAATGAATAAATAAATCTTTAAAAATCAGTCAAATAAGTCAAGGAGTTTGTTGATATTTGTGTTGGGAAGAATGAGATGAAGTGAATATAAGACATTCTGGAACAAGAGTTGGGGGGGCAGTGACATCAACTCCTCCTCTCTTGCTCAGGCATACACCTGCTCTCTCCACCCTCTCAGCTCTCCTCTCTCTCCTTCAGTTAGCATGTGTCCCTCATTCTCTCCTACTTTATGTGGAATTTAGACATGAGACTGGGGTAGTAGGTCACGAACAGCTGTGTGTGTAGGGAGGTCTTAGTTTGTCTTCTCTGCTCCAATACCTATGCCTTGATGACTTCTAAACTTTTTGCCAGTCCATCAAAACTCCAATCCCCAGATCTGGTCTTTAGAGGGAAATTTTTCCTAGATTTCCTAAGTCATTCATCTACAAGATAAAAGATAATCACAATAGAAGAGGATACTCCTCTCATGTTCTTACTCTTGCATATCTGTGTTTCTCTTCCATGTGGACACTAATATTATCTATAATTTCTTCCTGAATCTGCAACAGAGATAAGACTCTATAAGCTGGTTAATACATATTCATTGGATAAATAAATGAATATATATCTAATATTCAAAGTGGAGATGGATATACTCATAGCATAATTTGATTTAGTAGGTTAAATGAAATAGTTTATATAAGTTATTCAGTACAATGATTGACATGTATAATTCCATAATGGGGTGAATGAAAGTGTCATTTTAAAACTTGTCTCTTCTGTGCTGTAGTTTCTCAAATGATTTTGTTATATGGAAGCATCAGAGAAGTTTCACACCTAAGGCCAGTATTCGCACCACTAGAACATCCTTTGGAACTCATCAGGTTATGCCTTTCTGTTGGAGAGTGATGCTGTTTATTTGCATGCTTTTAATGACTACAAAGAGTCCTGTGTATTAAGTTTAAAAACTCACATAAAAGGTAGAGAAGGTGATGCCCACTTCCTTTTACGACTTATGTCAGTCACAAGTCACATAGGTTGTAATAGGAAGCAAACCCAAGTCCTTATGCTGTGTCTCTTTCCCTCAGTTCTCTGTGCCACAGAGCCACCAAGAGAAAACCTTTTCATCCCACAAACACTGTACAACACTCTTAGCAATTTTGAGGAACTAGCATTCTTTTCTGTCAAGGAGAGAGCATGCCCTGTAGAAGTGAAATGTATTCCCTAGTATTGATCACAGGGATATTGAATGCCTTGCAATCTATTTGTGTCGTGAAATTTGAGGAGTTTGAATAGGAATGATGTAATGTAGGAATGAATTCTAAATTAGAGTAGCACAAGTGGGTTTCCCCAACACATAAACACATTGCAGAGTAGCACACTTGACATTTAAAATGTTCAGCTGAGGGACTGGCACTCTGGCTTGGCAGATAAAGCCACCACCTGTGGCTCGAGTCCCTGCTGCTCCTCTTCCGATCCAGCTCTCTGCTATGGCCTGAGAAAGCAGCTGAGGATGGCCCAAGTGCTTGGGCCCCTGCACCTGCGTGGGAGACCTGGAAGAAGCTCCTGGCGCCTGGCTTTGGATCAGCTCAGCTCTGGCTGTTGCAGTCATTTGGGGAATGAACCAGCAGATGAAAGACCTCTCTCTGTCTCTCTCCCTCTCTCTATTTCTCTCTCTGTAATTCTGCCTTTTAATAAATAAATAAACAAATCTTTAAAAAAATAAGTGAAATGTTCAGCTGAGACTGCCAGGTTAAGGTATGGATGATCAACCAGGTGGACGTGAAGCACCATAGGACAATGACATGAATGTTGGGAAGAAAGGCTATGTTAGAAGCCAAAATACATATGTTACTTTGGGAGCATGGCCAGAGTGTAAAAACAGTGCTAAAGTGACTGATTAAGCTACCATGTGCTTAATGTTGCTTTTCCAATAGGACAGAGAAGCAAAAGCCCAGAAGCTGCCTCAGAAAATCAATAAAGTGCCAGTCTCCCCTGCAGCCCTGTAGCAGAATGGGCATGCTCCACTCTGCTCTATGCCAGCATCATCCTTGGGGAAACTCCGGAGTCAGCCAGGGCAAGGAAATGCAAGGAGCATTTAGTAATGAGGATGAGCCTGTAGGTGAGCTTATTTATCACACAACCAAGGATCTGGGGGACACAGTGGATATGTTTGTTAGGGAAGGGACCCACAGAATAAGGGCTAGTGAGAAGAAGCATGAAATAGCAAGAATATTCAAGAGATGACTTTGATAAAGACATTCTCTAGAACTCGCTAGTTGAGATACAGCTGATCTTTTGGTATTCTGTTCTCTTGGAAAAAAGGCTCTGTTGCCATGATTAGTAATTCAGCCATGGTCTATTGCTTATGGATTTTCTTTTGCAGGAATATGATTTTCTGTAATCATGAATTCATATTAAACTTTTTATAAAAGTTAACCTTTTTTAAATTTATTTATTTATTTGAAAGTCACAGTTACACAGAGAGAGAAGGAGAGGCAGAGAGGTCTTCAATCTGCGGGTTCACTCCCCAATTGGCTGCAGCCGCCGGAGCTATACTGATCTGAAGCCAGGAGCCAGGAGTTTCTACTGGGTCTCCCATGCAGGTGCAGGGACCCAAGGAATTGGGCTATCTTCCACTTCTTTCCCAGGCCATAGCAGAGAGCTGGATTGGAAGTGGAGCAGCTGGGACACAAACCGGTGCCCATATTGGATGCCAGCACTGGATGAGGAAGCTTAACCTGCTATGCCACAGTGCTGGCCCCAAAAGTTAACATTTTGAGTGGTTGTTGGCCTAATGGTTAAGATGCCTGCAGGGCATTCAATAGCTCGGATCAATAATAGGGAATACATTTCACTTCTGCAGGCATGTTCTTCCCTTGACAGAAAAGAATTCCTGGTCCTCAAAATTGCAAAGGGGTTATATATGTTCTAGTTCCTGGGTTCAAGTCCTTGCTCTCTTAATTCTAGCTTCTTGCAAAGCAGACCCGAGAAGAGGTCAGGTGATGGCTCAACTTCCCAAATCCCTGCCATTCACCTGGGTTGGATTCTCAGTTCTTGGATTTGGTCCAGCCTAGCCCAGCCCTGATTACTGCAGGCACTTAGAAAGTAAACCAGCAGGTGGAATTCTGTCTCTGTCTCTGTGTCTCTCTGTCCCTGAACTTCTTGAATACTTTTTAAAAAATTGACCTCTTTATATATATTTTAATGCCTGGGTCAAGATGCCCATATGGCCTTTGTGACCAAAGAGTGGTTTCCAATATAGTTACACTCTGAGAAAGGATTTTTGCAAAAGCAATACATCCAGAGACTAGTTCTCTTCCCCCAAAGTCCTTTCTTCTTGAATTTATTATTTGGCTTGTCTCAGGGAACAGAAAACATGACACCAACTCTGTAAGAGAAGAGGGAATTTATTATTCCATTTAAAAGAGAAGTCAAAGAACAGACGATGCAGGGATGGCTTGAAACAAGAAATTTATGTCATCGAAATATAGTTTCTCTCTGTTTCTTTGTCTCTATTTTGATTTAATTTTTAAAGAGGCCCTATTTTCTCTCACCAGAGACTAGTTTCAGTTTTCAGGCAACATTTTCCAGGTCCATGTCTAAGAGAAAAGATGGTCTTTCTTGCAGCACTTCCAGGTCAAGACTCTGTTTGAGTCATCTACTGATACTTATAATGATGTTTGTGGTGGGAGGACATCCATTTGTAGATTAGAATAGGCCTAGGTGGTAGGCTCCACAGGGATCATGATGGAATCAACACAACTGAAGACAAAAGCTGAAGTTTGATAAGTTTGCTAAGAGGTAATTAGGGTTTCTGACACTAGAAATGTATATATTGGGATATGAAAACAGGCCGGCACCGCGGCTCACTAGGCTAATCCTCCACCTTGCGGTGCCGGCACACTGGGTTCTAGTCCTGGTCGGGGCGCCGGATTCTGTCCCGGTTGCCCCTCTTCCAGGCCAGCTCTCTGCTATGGCCCGGGAGTGCAGTGGAGGATGGCCCAAGTGCTTGGGCCCTGCACCCCATGGGAGACCAGGATAAGTACCTGGCTCCTGCCATCAGATCAGCACGGTGTGCCGGTCGCAGCGCGCCAGCCGCGGCAGCCATTGGAGGGTGAACCAACGGCAAAGGAAGACCTTTCTCTCTGTCTCTCTCTCTCACTGTCCACTCTGCCTGTCAAAAAAAAAAAAAAAAAAAGGATATGAAAACAGCAGCAGAAGATGTCCACTCCATTGCTTTCTTTAAACCTCAATTCCCAAAACAGCTGCTAACAACATTCCATGTTGGTTATAGTGAGATATTTTTGCTACCTGATGTGAGCTCATAGAAGATCAAAAGACCTGAATCTTGCTTAACAAATGAAGGAATACTAGTGACTTTCACCAAAGGTCATTACCTGCCTGAGGCCAGATACCAGGCAAAGTGATGGGTGACTCTTCTACATAAGCAATGAAATAATCCAATCCAAGATAATTATGGAACTGCTACAGCCAAGGACACTGATAGCTAATATAACACAAACTAAGCAGTGACAAGACTGAGAGCAGAGTTTGGATCTCCTCATTTCCATGCTAGTGTCACTGCTTTGAGTAACAGACATCCATTGGCATGACATTCCTCATCTCTCTCTGATAACTTACTTCTCCAACTAAAAAAGGTGTTAGGTTATCTGTTTGGGGAGTTTGCAGAAATAGCAATAGGCCTAAGTGACTCAGTGGCTCCCTCCTTTGCAGGGAAAATATTTTCTCTTTTGCTCGTCTACAAGTGAGACGAACGCAGCGTGGAGTGGCTGTGCAAGGAAGCTTGTGCTCTGTGAGCATTACTCATTGGGGGGCCAGAAAACCCACTTGGTGAACAGAACTTGGAAGCTCCAAAATAGATATCTTTAAATAATCAGGTCCCAAAAATGAATTGTCCATTAGTTAGTTCCTTTTTATTATGTTTATTTGTAATAAAGTGATACTTGGTTATCTGTGAGTTACATTCCCTTTTTCCCCCATTTTGTTCCAAATTTGGTACAGCACAGGGATATGTTATTTAATTTACACCATCAAATTTCAAAAGAAGTAATATTTGGAAGCTAAAAGAATAAGCAAATGGAGGTATTCTGTTAATCATTCATCACATTTTCCATATTTGGCAAATTGAATACGAGAACCAAATTCCCTAAAGGGAAGAGAAAAGAAAGAAGATTAGTATTATAAGGAGAGTGGGCATTGTTCTTGAATGCACTTTCTTTGTCTTTTAAGTCCTATAAAGAAGGCTGCTTTAAAATTTCCTTTACATCCGTCATTTTTTTATTCCTGTTTGTCACCACCACAGTTAGTACATTCTTTATGTGTTGATTATCCAAAAAGTGTTCTGTGAAGTTTTCTTTTTTTAAAGATTTTTATTCATTTGAGAGGTAGAGATACAGACAGTGAGAGGGAGAGACAGGGAGAAAGGTCTTCCTTCCGTTGGTTCACTCCCCAAATGGCTGCAATGGCCGGAGCTACACCGATCAGAAGCCAGGAGCCAGGAGCTTCTTCCCAGTCTCCCACGGGGGTGCAGGGACCCAAGGACTTGGGCCATTTTGTACTGCTTTCTCAGGCCATAGCAGAGAGCTGGATCGGAAGAGGAGCAGCCAGGACTAGAACTGGCGTCCATATAGGATGCCGGGACTGCAGGCGGAGGATTAACCTACTGCACCGTGGTGCTGGCCCCATTCTGTGAAGTTTTTCTTTTTCTTTTTTTTCTTTTAATTTTTTTTTTTTTTTTTTTTTTTATTTTTTTTTTTGACAGGCAGAGTGGACAGTGAGAGAGAGAGACAGAGAGAAAGGTCTTCCTTTTGCCGTTGGTTCACCCTCCAATGGCCGCCGCGGCCAGCGCACTGCGGCCGGAGCACCGCGCTGATCCGATGGCAGGAGCCAGGTACTTATCCTGGTCTCCCATGGGGTGCAGGGCCCAAGCACTTGGGCCATCCTCCACTGCACTCCCGGGCCATAGCAGAGAGCTGGCCTGGAAGAGGGGCAACCGGGACAGAATCCGGTGCCCCGACCGGGACTAGAACCCAGTGTGCTGGCACCGCAAGGCGGAGGATTAGCCTATTGAGCCACGGCACCGGCCTCTCTGAAGTTTTTCAAAAAAAGTTTCGTCCTGTAACCCATTCCCATCTCAGTACTTTTCCGTTCAGCATAGACATACTGGATTTTTCTACCAAGAGGTAAAATATAGCCACAACAGTGATACTTCTAGACCTATTCACCCTGTTGTCTTGGCTGATATAAATTTGTATATTTTCGTTGTAATAAATAGATACAATGAAAATAACAGCTGTTATATTTTATGAGGCCTTCTAGTAAATCATCAAACCTGAGTAGGCTTGGGACCCCCAACCTAGGAGATCTCAAAAATCATGGAAGGGTTACTGTCAAGACATAGGCTGACTTATAAAAACAGCGTCAAATGGTGCTAAAATATATCACAAGGAATGTCTTGATTTTTAATCTAAATTTCCTACTGAAATTATTTGAAAGGCAAATAATATTACAAGTTAGCTATTAATTTTTATGCATGTAAGAAACATAACCACTTTATTACTCATATGTAATAGTATTTGTGCCTATATATATGTATATATGTCTAGGTCTTCATTTATACCCATTGCTTTATCTTCATCTTTATCTGTTTCTATATCTATTAATTTCTCTCAAACGACATTGATAAGGTACTACACATAGGCTTGTCAGTGTGACTTGTGAAAGAAAATTTGAGTGATTTTTAAAATAATGGATTTTCATTTATTGTTTGAATATAATCTGTAGACTTCTTATAAATATGATCCCTGAAATTCTCCCAAAATATCATGTACGCATTTCTATTAAAAATGTCTACTGTGAATGTTAACTAAATTTTTAAAAGAAACTTTTACTGTCTAAATAGTCTGCTCCTGATATTTCTTTTTTAAATTTTAAAATATGTACTCATTTTTACTAATTTGAGGGACAAAGAGGCAGAGACAGGCAGATGGTCAGTCAGATGGACAAAGTTCTTATGCAGTGGTTCACTCCTCAGACATTTGCAACAGCCTAGACTGGGCCAGGTTGAAGCTGAGAGCCAATAATTCAATCCAGTTCTCCCACATGGGTGGCAGAAGACCCAACCACGTGAGCCATCACCTGCTGCCTCTCACATGAACCTTAGCAGAAAGCCAGAATTAAAAGTGGAGCAGGACTCAAACTCAGCACTTGGATGTAGGCATCTCAAGCATTGTTGTAAGTTGTGCCACATGCCTGTCCCTACCCCTAATCTTTCATGAACAACAGACTATTTTTTTTTTAATGGTACACATCAGTAAAACCTAATTCCTTGGCTTATATTGTTTGGAACTTACATGAAGAAACATAGAGAAAAAATATAGTAATGGTGTTTTATTTTTAACTTACCACTGTTCAGTGCAGAAGAAACACTCATTCTGGTAAGTACGCATGTTTGTAGCACACACATATGCTGTCACATTAGGACAGTTTGCTTCATAAAGAGGATCCAGTGGTTGATATATATGGCACGGGGGCTGCACATACCACAAAATATCATAGGAGTAATGAATATTCGTATTATTTAATTCCATCTGTGCCTTGCCTATCACTTCTGCCACAGATAGAAATAATAGCAAATCTTAACAATTCATTGATCTTTTCAAAAATTTCCTGTGCTCTGGCTTCCCACCAGGTGACCAATTTTTGTTTTTGTTTTTCTGACTGTAGCGTCTGCCCCCATCCCATCATCTCCTCAATCCATACCTTATAATGTCCATGCTTAACTCCAAATGTGAAGTTTTCATTTAACCTTGGTCTCTAACTCACAGAAGGAAGTTTCTGAGTGGAGAGATAGATGTGTTTGTGAATTCTAGACGGCTCAAGAGTGGTTGGTAAAATGAAGGTTCTGTATCAAGACTAGGAATAAATTTTGGACTTACCACAATACAGCTTTGTGACTTTGAGTAAATGACAGGTGTTATTTCACTTAATCCTCAGAAATACACTGACTCATATATTTTATTTGACTATATGTATTCATTTTATTATAAGTTATTACTATACTATCATGCTTTTGTTGCATTGGAAAGCATCTAAGCCAGGAAAGGTTAAGCTACATGCCAGAGTCCAGATAAAGTCCTTTCTTTCTACTTTACTTTCATTAAATTTTAGATAAGTCATGTCAAGACTTTGATCATTATTAGAAAGAGAATCCAGAATTAGAAATGCAAATGTACCATAGGCCATTTAGAACTGTCACGTGGTTTGAAGATCCCTGCAAATAAAGTACAAACAGTAAGTTAAAGTTCCCCATGGGATATGATTTTTCTTACTGAAACTACTTGGAATAAAGAAATATGACAACTATACATTTGCTCAAAAGTATACAAAATAATTTATAGCAACAGTATTTGTAGACAACATTCCTGTGTTAGCTACTTTATCCGTTGCTTTTATTTTCACAGTCATATTTATGGCTTTCCTATGTAACTGAAGAGAGTAAACACTGTTGTGTGGTTGTATGCATAACTTATAAACAATGTTATTTTCAGTGAGTTATTGGACTGTTGTCTCTGATTTCCTCCTCGTTATAACTGGGATAATTATTTGCATTTTAAGAGTATTGCAAAGATTAAATGTGATGCAGTAAGTAATGTATTAGGCTAGTTCCTATGAACACATTGTGCTTAAAGGACTCAGTGATGACAAGAAAACTTAAGGTTGGGTGGGCATTGTGGTATAGTGGGTTAAACTGCTGTGTGTCATGCCCACATCCCATATTGGAGTGCCTGGGATCAAATCCCAACTCCACTTCCTATTCAGCTTCTTGCTGATACATATAGGAGGCAGCAACTAATAGGTCAGGCCAAGTATTTGGGTTCCTGCTACCCATAAAGGGACCCAAATAGAGTTCCAGGCTTCCAGTTTTGGCCTGGCTTTCAGGAGACTGAGTTTGTAGGAGTAGAGGAATAGGAAAGGGCTTATTGTAGTTTGGCTATTACTTACTTCTCACTGTTAAATATTTAAAACATCAGAAAATATTCTAATGTTCCCAAAGTGAGAATTTTCAAAAGTTAATAGAGAAATGCTGAATAGCATTTAGCAATATTTCCAAAAAGTAAACAAAAGACCTGATAATCTTTCCAGGACCAGATCATGCTGAATAAAAAATGATCATGTTTTTATCTAATCCTATAAAGTCAAAGTATTTACATGACAAAAGAAGTTGGGTGTAGTTATGAGAAAAGAAAAATAATGCGCCTCGTTTAGTAAAAATAAAATAAATTACACATATATACTGCATACCAAGTAAGAATAAACTTCAAATGAATTAGGATCTGAATATTAAGAATGAAACCAGGAGAAGACATTTAGGTTAGTGGTTAAGATACCCACATCCTATGTCAGAGTGCTTGGGTTCAAATCCTGAATCTGGTTCCTGACCAGTTTTCTGCAGTGCTGACTCTGAGAGACAGCAATGATAGCCCAAGTACTTTAAGTCCCTGTAACGCAAGAGTAACCTGGATTGAATTCCTCGTTCCTGGTTTGAGTACCAGCCCACCTTGAGCCACTGCGGGCATTTGGAGAGTGAATCAGTAGATGGAAGCTCTCTCTGACTCTTTCTCTCTCTTTCTGCTTCTCAAATGAATTTTTTTAATGAAAAGAAAATAAGGCAATGCAAAGATTAAAATATGACAGAATCCCTCTTTAAACATAATTATAGGGAGAGACTTTGTGAAAATGACTCATTTATTTAAATACATTAACAGAAAAGACTGATATATTTTATTACATAAAAATAAAGATGACTTCTCGGCAAAAAAATAAACACATATAGGCTTAAAATGTATTTGATAAAGAGCTAACATCTCTAGTGTATAAAGAACTATTTAAAATTGATGAAATAAAAATAAAATCAATTTAGAGCATGCAAGATACCAAATACATACAGTTCACACTTACCCACATCCTCAATAAGGATACAGAATTAATCCTTACAATCTGCAAAAAGTGTTCAGCTTCACCCATGAGAAGAAAATTGCTTGATTAAAAATAGACTAAAATGTCATCTCAGCTATCAAATTAGTTGTTAAGAAAGATGTATTTTCATGTTACTGGTGGGAATGCAAATTGGTATGTGATGGGTCACAGTGACATTTATTGAACCAACCAACTATTATGATTAATCGAATTCTGTCCAACTGAGGGTTACATAAAATAATAAAATATATTGCAGAGAATCTACACATAGCAGATAATTAATTGATGGTAGCTAAATTTTAAATATTCCTTTACAGAGCATTTGCTATGAAACATTTATGGAGAATGTAAGAATGCAAAAGTAGGTAAGATATACTGTAGCATCAGCTTTACTACTCTGTCACTTCTTCCCAGTGTACTAGTTTCCTGTCACTGCTGTAAGGAATTATCAAAATTAGTGACTTCAAATGACATAGGTTTATTATCTCACAGTTCTAGAGGTAGGAAGCCCTAAAACTCAGGCACCAGCCTGGCTGCATTCCTTCTGGAATTCTAGGGAAGAATCATTTCCTTACTTTTTTCAGCCTCTACAGGACACCCGAATTCCTTGAACCATGGCTCCATTCTCACACCATTCCAGCCTCTGCTTCCACTGTCACGTCTCCTTCTGAGCCCTGTCCTCCTGCCTCCCTCTTCTAAGAATCTGTGATGATATTGTTCCCACCTCAGTGATCTAGAATAATCTTCCCATCTCAAGAACATTAATCAGATCTGCAAAAATCTCTTTTTCCAAGAAAAATAGCATATTCAAAACTTCTGGTGATTGATATTAGATCTTAGATATTTTAAGAGGTCATCCTTTAACCTCTATTAGCAAGTGACATAAGGTTTATCCCCAAACTATTCAGACACACACATGATCTGAGCACAATTCTCACAAATGCTTTTGTGTCTGTTTTATTTTCCATTATCATCATTTAAAGAACCTGCTGAAGCCTGGATGAAAATACATTGTTGTTTTATCAGCAGAAAATCATACTCACACAAACATTACAATTTTGTCTACTCTAGAGGATTTCTTTAGAAAAGGGCATGAGAATCCACAAGGCAGAAAACAAGTCTGACTTTTCCATTTAGGAAAACGTTATTCTTTAAAAAAAAGATTTATTTACTTATTTGAAATGGAGAAAGAGAGAGAGAGCAAGTGATTTCTTTCTCCTGGTTCATTCCCCAAATGGCCACAACAGCCAGGTCTCTGCCAGGCTGAAGCCAGGATCCAGGAACTCCATTCTGGTCTCTATATGGGTGACAGGGACCCAAGCACCTGTGCCATCTTCTGCTGCTTTCCTAGGCACATTAGCAGGGAGGTGGATCAGAAGCAGAGCAGGCAGGACTTGAACTAGCACTCTGATGTGGGATGCTGGTGATGTAAGTGGAAGCTTAACCCACAGTGTCACAACGCCGGCCCCACAGGGAAATATCTTTCCATGATACTTGATTTGATTGACAGTCTCAAAGGCTTACATTTAAACAAAGCATTCCCCATCCAATATCACAAATGACTTTTTTCCCTTTCGTACAACTTTAAGAAAATCAGATATTTAATATCCGCCAAAATACAAGGTCACTCACCTGAAAAAACAGTATGTGCCAAAGTAGAGGATACCAGGAAAAATATGATCTTTGGAGAAAGACAGCCATTCGATTTCATCTAGTATCCTTCTTTGGTGAAGTCTACAAAAATAGCCAAGACAATTTGGTCCTAATCTCTGGGAGAGCTGGCTTTCCAAACCATCAGATACCCCATACCCAACAGGGTGCCATTGCACTGCAGTTGATCCTGACAGCCTCGCTGGCCTGAAAGGTCCCTCTGCTCTTGGAAAGGGGAGAAAACTAACTTTTTCCCTTCTGCCAATAATCAGTCTACATACATCACAGTCCTGGCCTGGAAGAAAAGTTGACCCTAGGACTCTCATTCAGGCGTCAAGACTCCAAACATGTTAACTATTAATAAATTTTCCCTACAGTTTATTACCTAAACTGGGATGCTCTTATTAGTGATTATAAACATGCCATACAGTCATAAGAATTCTGGGACAATAGGTGTGAAGTAGGGTTGTCCCTCATATGCAGGCACATGTCACCCTGTAACACAAGCTGTTTGATTTCCTGGCATGGACTAGTTTCTCTCACACGAAGTACTTCATTTCCTAGCTAGTTTCTCATTTTGCTGGGCCAATCACATGGGCACAAATATAAAGCTGTGATTACGAATGGAATTATTGGTCCTGGGTTATACCGATTATGTGTACCATCCATGATATAAGAATCAGGATACATACATATGTACAGACAGGAACTTAAGAAGTTTGTAGAAAATGAAATTAAACCATATATTTATTTTGGTGTGAAATATTTTGAAGCCCACATAGAGTTTTTTCATAATACACATTTCCATTAACTTTTTGGCCTTGGATTGATTTATTGAAATGAATGAGATGCAAGAAAGCATGGAGTTGGTAGTCAGAAATCAGAGTTCAAGTCCTAGATTCAGCATCTCCTGGATGTGTGAGTCTCAGAAGAAATATGAACTTTGTAGAATATCGAGAGGGCCAATTGGTATTAATATAAAAGCTTAAATACACTAAATTGGCGATTTATTAAATCAAACTTTACTTTGTAGAGATGGGACTGTTAGACCCAGAGAGAAGAGACTATTCAAGTCCATTTCTTCATTTTCATCATGATCTAGGGAATTCATGTCTCTCCTCCAAATTCTAGCAGGTGGGCACATAGAGAAACAAAGGAGAACCACATTAAGATAGAGACTCCCCTTACTTTCACCTGCAAAGAAAAGGAGGGTGTTGGAGGAAAAAAGTAATAAAAAAAGAGAGAGAGAGAGAGAGAGAGAGAGACTCACTGTTAGTGTTGAGACCTTCCAGTGATGGGAAAAATCACTGACATGGATTAAGGAACGTGAAGGCAAAGAGAAATTACCTGAATGATGGAACTAAACCTGAGGTCCCAACTAACCTTGAGAAGAGTTGCTGTTCTGAATGTCTTGTGGCCAGGAATGTGGGGAGCAGAGTGGCAGTCTCCTTGCTTAGGACACTGACCACTTGTGTGGCATGAGTTTGCTCTGAGGGTTGTTTCTGAAGCTGATCTGTCTCTTGAGCCACCCCCTCTGATGTTTCATGCTCCAGCAGGCAAGGACAAACTTGGAGGCTCTGCACTTCTGATTTCTGTTTGTGCGTCATGAGAACAAGAAGAACGGACAGCTGAAGGATTCATTACCTGCATAGTAGGTTAATGTCACACCACGTTCCAGAACTTTTGGTGAATTTTGATTCAAGCAGGTACTAGTCTTTCCAGACTGCTCTATCTCTACTTCTCACAAGTCTAACCTGTTTTACATTTTTTGGGTATATTTTTCTATTTGTTTGGGAAATCACAATGTCTCAAATATTTGCAATGCCCAAGCCTCCCATTTCTCCACTTGTTGCCCTGCACCACACCTCAGCTCTGGCAAGTTCAAAAATTTGCCATGATTTTGAAAAATCCCACCTCACAGGCTTTAATTTATGCTGTATTGTTAGTACCTTGTTGTTTTGTGTTCCTGTACCAGACTGAACCCTGTAATCTGACATTTATATTTAGCCTCCTTACACGTCTGTCCATTCTCTGTTGACATCATGCTCTGTAGTCTCCTCTTTCTTCCAAGTTAGGGTCAATTCAGCTTCCAGACCTTGATTATGGAGAAGGATAGAAAAAATACTATACAATTGACTATACAATTCTGCTATTGTTGTTACTTACCTATGCCCTCTAGAC